TGTGTGTGTGTGTGTGTGTGTTATTGTTGAAATTATGGTTAAATCTGAAATCTTTTTCTCACTGCTGGTCAAATTGTGATACGATAATACAAATAATACAGCTAGAATTTGACCTTAGTTCCCTAATTCCCTAAAATAAATACAGAAAATAACAAAATAAAGCAGCTGTGTAACCTCTATTTTCCCTTGGTGGTAATGGACAGTGGTTTTGTTTTTGTTTTTTGTTGATTGTGCAACATGTCTCCAGTGATTTCACTCGCTCTTATCATTTTATTCTCGGTTATCGTGAGACAATGGAGGCAGAAAAACAAGGTACTGACTGCAACTATTCTAAAAGTTACAGCAATTTATTATAATATGATCAAAGAAATAGATCAGATTGCTTTCACATCGTTAGCGCATAGCACATGATGGACCAGATATTGGACAGACATCGTGGACTAGGGGCTGATGATTTTGTTCTCAATATTTTCCTGGATATTAAGAATTGGGTGGGGGGGGGATAAAGAACGCCCCTCTCTATTTTAATGATAGGTAAGATTGATTACTTTTGGTGTGGGTCAAGGTTTCTGGAAACCCGCGAAGCCTGGGTTAGCCCGCTTGTCCTTAAAAGCGACCCGTTGCCCTTGCCATAACTAAACAAAAACTTTCATGTTGTCGTCAAAACTGGTCAAAGGCACTCCATAATCAAAAACTGACACGTGATGGTTTGATCACGAGGTCCCCAGTTAGTTACGGTCTGTCTGTCTGTCCTCCGTTTCACGGATGGAAGGACTCTCATAAGTTGTTGTTTTTGTTGTTGTTGTTGTTGTTGTTTTTGTTTAATTTAGTACCGTAGAGGGTTTTACGACGCTCGCAACTGCATAACAAGGTCATAGGAGCGCCACCTCACATAATTAAAACGGAAACCTGTACGGACGGGTATTTTGATTTTATTTATCATTTTGTAAAGGACAAGTTTTTGAAAAGATATCATATAATAGCACGTGAACCCTTCATTTCATCTCCCCCCCTTTTTTTTATTCCTCGCCCTGAAACTAACCCACGTCCACTTTGATTTATCTTGAAAGATAAGACCTCCCCCTCCCCCCTTCAACCTTTATTCCTCGCCCTGAAGAAACATGGCCCACTTTCCACTTTGATTTTTCTTATGAAAGATAAGACCTCCCCCCCCC